CTTGAATCTAGATGTCAATTCCAAATATATCAATATGGCCATTGATTGGAACTCCACCACTTTTTGCATTTCAGATAATGTTGCCTTAACTGCCACTAATTATAAAGCTTCAGCGTTTAAAAAGAAAAAGATTTAACGGATGCTTGAAATGCTTCCTACACTTGAAGTATTAAAATTGCGCCACCCACTCTTATTTGATAGTGCCTAGCTATGCATCAGATGTAAGTTGGAATTAGAAGATTTTGCACATATTTGGACGTGCCCTTTGGTACTTCACAGAACACAACGTCTCATTTATGACTCCCAATCATTGCTCAATACCATCACTCAAAACGAAGTACAATTCTCTGATATCCAATAACTGAATATCTGGTCTATCTCAAATACAACGCAATTCTCATTTATTGATTTAATCAAAGGTATTATTCCTACAACATTATACAGCATCATCCATCAATCACTCACCTCCAAAGAAGCCACAGAAGCTGCATTGTTCTCTTTAATGCATTTTATTTTTGTACAATCTAATGATATTTGGAAAGATTGTTGTTCACAATTCAAAGACTTTGAAAAGTCTCACGAAATCACAGATCAATTAAAAAGATCTCTTACTGAGAACTCTGGTTACCATTTCTCCTCCTCATCTCTGACATTCATGCCGCACAATGTGATAGATCAAATGGTCCGTTTAGGATCTCAATAGACAAAATTTTGGTGCTGTAGGGGTCAAGCCCTTTTCTGTTTCTAATTGCTGAAATGTGACGACATGATTTTGGTTGTATTAGATTCTAGAAAAGTGCAGGGTCAGTCTTGATTTAGATAGTTTCATGATTATTTAGATAGAGATTTTCATTATTTCTGAATATGTGTAATTTTAATTTTTATTATTTTTCAATAAAGTTATAGCGAATCTACCGCACTTAAAAAAATAAACAAAAAAAGAAAAAAATCTCTTTTTCCTTTTACACAATGGCACCTAAGAGAAAGAACTCCAAACAACAAGATCGCTCAGCGTCTCCATACATTATCAAAAATAATTTCAATAACTCCAACAAAAAACCAAACCCAATGCAAACTAGAGATACCACTTCAACTCCTAGTAGCTCAACAACAGTCGTACCTCCAGAAACTACGGATGTTGACTCAACATATTTAGATAAAGGCAAAAATAAAGAAGAGGATATTACTTCTAAAGCTCTCAACGTCAACGAAGCGTACGACCTTTCAGAAAATCTTCTTGATGAAAATTACAAATCGCCGCAAGCCTTCGATAGGCCCAAACTAACTTTTCACACATTTTTTCCTTTAAATGACCTTTCTGGAAAATCGCCACAACAAAAAATCTCCTTTGTTATTGACCTTATTTTCGATCATTATGATTCGTTCACCGGTGTGGTCGCTTCAAAACACCCAGACAATATCACTCTTCGAATTGCTAAAATTTCCTTTCGAAACAAAAAACATCGTGATTACGCATGTACTGTCAAATTACCAAATATGGATAATTGCACATTTTCACCCCTGGAAATCATTCCCAAACATCAATTTGTTTCGGCTCGGTCGATTAAGGTCACAGAAATTCCCTTAGATGCAACGGAACACAGAATACAAACTGTATTCTCCAAATTGGGTAAGATTATTAGGCTCACCATGGACACAAAAAACCTTTGGTAGCAAGCGACTATTACGTACAGCGCCGACTCTAATTTCGATAATATAAAAAAAGAATATGGAATTTTCGTCATCAATGACATGGTTAGATATTACATGTGTGACTTACCGAAAAAGAACATACTTGCTAAATCGAAATTTTCTGCCAAATTGGCTAGACTTCCTAGGTTTACAACAGGAAAGCAACTTATAGAAATTGGGCATATGTTGAATGTCACTGCTTGAATTATACCGAGGGCTAGATCTAATTATCTCCCACTCCAGCACGCATATTTCTATTTCTGCTCTGATGATGACGTAGAAGCAGCAATTAGTAACGACAATCTTACTATTGACAACAAACATGTGACTTGGACCCAATCAAATGCAAAGCTCTGCGCAATTTGTTCGTCCTCTCATCACAAAGCTAGCGAATGTTCTAGAAAGAGAAGAACTCCAGATAATCGCAACGTACAAAAATTATATCAATGCTTCCAACTGGCATAATTCACAAATTATAAAGCATCATCGAAACCCTTAAAAGGTGCAGTTAATCCGAACATTACCTTTGTGTATGTGACCGGAAATTCTCAAGAATCCAAATCCTCCTCTAATGATGAAATGAAAGGACAAAAAATTTCGCATGAAAAAAAGTCAATACCAAAGAACACGTATAAGACTAATGATGCATACAACCAACAAAAAAGTTCATGATCTGATGATATTCCTGATACATTGAATGATCGTCTATTTGACCAAACAGTTGTGCCTACTCCCTCAATGTACTTGGCGAATGGTACGATGAA